TTTGTTTGTTTGTTTGTTTTTGCTTTTTGGGTCACACCTGGCGATGCATAGGGGTTACTCCTGGCTCATGCACTCAGGAATTACTCCTGGAGGTGCTCAGGGGACCATATGGGATGCTGGAAATCGAACCCAGGTCGACCGTGTGCAAGGCAAACGCCCTACCCGCTGTGCTATCCCTCACCTATATTTTTAAATGCTTCACTTAGATACTTTTTCTCCTTAAATTCCCTCCCTCCCTCCTCACCCCCCTCCACACACTTCAACCTTAATATTTAGTTTATGGCCCTCAGAATCCGGTCAGAGCAGACTGTGGCCAAAATCATTTTCTTGGCCTTTGCTAAGAGCGTCTGGCAAGGCCCTCACTCCTCAGTCTGTTCTCAGGACTTGCCCAGGAAGGTCCAAACCAATAGAATGCCTTTTTTGTCCCCAGGCCTCTCTTGTCTTCCTTTCACTTCCAGACTCCTAACCATGACAGGGAGAATGAATGCCTGGGCACCAGGCCAGGTCCTTTCTGCTGAGCCCTGGAGATGTGGCCCGTCTCTGGGTCCTTCCGTCATGGAAGGTGGGGGTGAGCACCATCAAGGAGCTTGGCAGGGATATGCCCCTTATCACTTCCAAGTCTGCCCTGAGGACAGAAATGGCAGTGGGTGCCCTGTCCCTTTGGGCAGGTACTGGGGCAGGACCTTCACCATCTCCCCTACCTGCTGCTTTCTGAGGATGGAGAATGTCCTGGTGAGCTCCTGAGGGTTTAGCAGAGGGCCACGTTCTCGCCTGGTGCCTGGAATCAGCCCGCCCCCTCCTCTGCTCACACAGCACCTCCTCCTGGGAGGTTCCAGGATAGCACCCTCCCACCGTGGTCAACCCAATCCCTCGCCCTTCCTCTGCCCATGACACCAACTATCCCGTGTCTTCCCTGGGGGAGCTCAGCTGTCAGGCAATGCTGCTTCCTCCTCCATTCCTGTGTCTACAGGCTTTGCTTCCTGGGATTGTTTATGCCACAAAGATCAGGAATCTCCAAGACTTTCAGGGGCATCGAAGTTTTCATTCTTGGTGGTAGGCAACTTATAGAAAACGGGATGTGACTGGTTCTCGGGGAGCATTACATTCACCTCAGCCCATAGGCCCATCCCATTTGCTCTTTCCATGCACATCTTTCCTTTCTTCTTCCCTTCTCTGTACCCAGAATATTATCATGTTCACATTTCCCTCTTTTCACCCTTTTTTATCCTTGGCTCAACTATCGTTGTCACAATGGCACTTCTGTCCTCTCCCAGATCTTGCCAAAGACCCTCAATATCTACCGTCAGAATAATGTACATTTGCTCCTAGAACAGCCATCACACTTAGGGGTTTGTCTGTTATTTTAACATTGGTGAGAGTTGGGGTGGCCAGAGTCTTCTTGTAGTCGTAGTTGGGACTTTCTCACCCCTGCTATTCAGAAACCAAGCATAGATGAATCTTACGGTGTCTTTGTGCCTCTATCACCTTCACCACGACAAGCGGTCTGTCATGTGTGTATCTCTCTCTGCCAGCACCATCTCTGGGCCAGAGAGAGGCTCGCTGCATGCTGAGACTAGCAATATGGGGGATTTGGGAGCCCTTCAACTCCTCCTTGCTGACAAGTGGCTCAGCTTCCTAAAAGTCTTCTGCCTGCTCACTGTTTCTCCATATCCCCGGATGAGGAATGATCCCCCCACCCACCCACCCACCCACACACACACACACACATACCTCCTGTGAGTCCGGTGTCCAGCAGGCAGAGCTGTAAACAAAGACTGCAAAGGAAGGAGGGAGAGGGAGAGACCAAGAATGCCCTGATGAAAGGGAGTGAGAAAAGGAAGCAGAAAAGCTCTGGAATCCAGCGCATCACCCAAGACCTTCCTGGGCATTGCCCAAGAGAACCTGGTAGCAGAGACTGGCACAGGTCCATGCTGAGACTTGGGGACATGAATGGGAGGTGAGGTCACAGACCCGCGGCACCTTTTGTCCTAGCTACTTGCAGGTTTGATTCATGCAACTAAAGAAGGTTCTTTCCTGGGTCGCTTCTTCCCAGGACTCTGTCACTTGTTATCCAGGGCCTTCATCTGGGTATCAGCCACATCTAATCTGTAGCCCTGTTGCTGGTTCTTTGTGCCCTGTGTCCCTAGCCTGGCGGTGAACCCTCTATGGGAGGGCCACTGTGAGGTCCTGTTACAGATGCCATCAGCAGCTTTGCGTGTTTGCTCTTTTATGCTTCTTCACTCTGCATCTGGGCGGGCTTGCCTTGGATGCATGTGGTTATTAGGGGTCATCATTAGAATAGCCTGGAAGCCATTGATTTTCAGTCAGACCCTTGGGACCCTAATCACTCTCCCTGATCAACAGTTCTGAAGACTTCTTCCTCCTCAGCAGTCACGATCAGGAGAAACTATGCCATGGTTTGGCTCACCTGGGGAATTGTCTAGGCTTACAAAGTTAGTCCTTAACATGGGTGAGGAACTTACAGTGCTATGTGTAAGGGTATTTGGCTTTTCCAGAGCTGCCCACGCTTACTGCACCTGTCCAGGCTGCCCCTGGCTCCTTGGGGCAGTGCAGAAGGAGAAAGCATCAGGAGAGTGGGGGCGTGCCGGCTCTGGCTTCTGGCTTTTCCCCATCTCCCGGGGTTTGTGGGTAGACACAGACTTACGGCCCCCAATGCCTGCACCTCCCAGCCGGTGAGGCAGCCCCACCCAGGCACCTCGCCAGTTTTTCACCATATGCTCACCAATTAAAATGAAAACGCATGCCACATGCGGGGCTGTTGCAAACACATTCTCGTTTTGATGTGGCTATTGTGAAGTAAATGTGTGCAAGAACATATGCTTTCTGTCAACCAAATGATGACACTGCTCTCACTGAAACCATGCCTTTTGCTGTGCTTGTAAAGCGACCGGGGCTGTGTATCTCTTTGTTAAATTCTCTATTATCAGATGCAAAGAAATTGCCATAAAAGTTCCTTCGATCGCCAAATCCATGTTCCGAAATGCCGCGTGTTCAGTCTAGTCTCTCACCCATCTCAGGTTTTGGGTACCAGGCGAAAGGCCTGAAACACTCCTCTCAGGCACATGTGCAGCCCCCAGAACCCCTGTCCCAGAACTGGTCTGCTTCTTCCTGATTCTGCCAGCCAGGACTTCCCTGCCCCCCAGGAAGCGGTCCCATGCCATCTCTTCAGTCCCTAAGACTGAAGCTGTGCTCATCTCCTCTGCCCAGAGGAGGCCTTTGTCACCTCAGCCTCCCTTTCTCCAGTCTCCCTAGGAAGCAGGACCCCCCATATGAGGTCTGAGACCCCAAGAGAAGATTGGGGTTGTGTCTAGAAGCCACCCGGAAGGAGAGGGAGAGGCCCCTATCCTCAGATCCCAGCCTGTACCTTGAGGGCACTGGAGGTGATTATCCCCAGCAAGAGAGTTTCTCCCCAGTAGTGTCCAAGAGTTACCCGAGGAGGGAAAGAGGCTGGTCTTGCTGCCTCCAACCCAAGCTCCCTCTCCCTTTCTCAGAGAAAGGCATGTAGGGGCAGGACCCGCGGCCTGGCAGAGGATTTCTTGCTGGAAGCTGAGGGAGCTGGGCCCCTTGCCTAGTGTGCCTGGAGCTTTCCTCTGCTTAGCTCACTGGGGGTCTGTTCTATGCCCCCCATCGCCAGCTGTCCCCAGTGCCCTGAGATGACAGGGTGCCCCTGCAGAAAGCACGCCCCGTCTGCTGGTTCTGGTGGGGGCTCACCAGGCCACGAACAGGCCCCACCATGTGGAGATGCTGCTGGCCTGAGTTTCCTGTTGCTTGGAGCAGTGTGTGCCGAGAGGGCACCAGCCACATGCGTGGGGAATGCTGCCAGCATCCCCGCATGTGGCTTTGCCCAGCCCTGCAAGACAGACCTTCAAGGCTGCCCTCCCATGGCCTTCACACACAGCAATTGGCTCCAGATTTTTCATCTTCCCAATCATTTTGCCATGATACCCCATTCCCAGCTGTGTGTATGAGCGTGGGGGGGGGGGCAAGGGCAGGGGGATGCAGCCCAAACACGCAAAGCCACAGGCCCCCTGCCACAAGCATTCCATTTGGTTCAAGCACAACACCTCTACTCTTTTTTTTTTTTTTTGACCTTTTGGTTGCATCAGAAATGCTCAGGGTAACTCCTGGCTCTGTACTCAGGAGTTACTCCTAGTGGATCTCGGGGGACCATATGAAATGCTGGGGACCGAGCCTGGGTTGACCGCGTGCAAGGCAAACACTCTCCCTGCTGTACTATGATGTTGGCCTCTCTGCTCTTGATAAATTTGAAAATAGTTCCATGCTCTTGAGGGATGTTTCTGAATAGTTTTCAAAGTCATTCACAGTTGAAGCAGGCCTAATCCAGGAAGAGGGTGGTAGGCCTCATTGGTTTAGCCACCAGAACACATCAGGCTTGATTCCCAAGGGAATAATTCCTTTTCCTGCAGAGGTGCAAGGGTGTTTATTTGTTTCTATTGCCATGTTGCCAAATGCTGCAACACAAAACATTCCAAGCAGCATCCTTACAGTATCACCATTTCAAGAGGTCAGAAGTCAGCATGACTTTGCAGACTGCAAGGCCCTATGCATCAGAAGGCCATGTAGTTTATAGGAGTCTTAGAGTGTCCTGGGATAAATCTTCCCCCCAAATTCTGACAGAGTATGAGTAGAGCAGAATGCAGTTTAGTGGAGTAGGGCTGAGTTGCCTTATTTCTTCCTCACTAACTTAGCCAGGAGTCATTCTCAGCTCCTAGAAGCACCCGACATTCCTCATCACACCACTCCCCACCCCACCCCCATACACACACTTCATCGCTTTAAATACAACTCTTGCATATATTTAAACTGAATGGAACTTCTCCACAAACAAGGTAAAATAAACATCCAGAAGGAGGTTCGGGTGTACATCACAGAGAAACCAACTTCATATTTGTGTTCATACCTTTGATATTTCCAAGAAACACCCATTGTGAATATATCTCCATTGTTGTCTCCATCAGCGAGTACCAGGGATCCTGAACCTGAATCAGAGGCAGAAGCAGGAGCAGAGGCAGAGGCGGAACAGACTGCTGATGAGGTCAACCCAGAAATAACCCCGGCTCCCTTTGGAACGGAGAGCGAAGTGGAGCGAGCACTGGAACCAGAGCCAGAGGAGAGAGCCTCTCTCAGTGAGAAGGAGAGGCAGAACGAGGAAGTCAATGAGAGGGACAACTGCTCTGCCTCCAGCATCTCCTCCTCCAGCAGCACGTTAGAGAGGGAGGACAAGGAGGACAAGCCGTCCCGGGACCGGGGAACTGGTAATAAAGCCTCTTTTCCCCATAAACACATCCCAGGCAACCCCAAGGTGTGATATCTCATTTGAGGTGATTCCCTCACTGGGCTGGTTAGAATATAATATTTGGTGTTGTTCTCTTTGACGAAAAACCTCTTTGTTTCACTATGATGCAGAGAAAGGGGGGTTGCTAAAAGGTATTATTAGTTTGCATTTTAGGAATGATTGCTTCAAAATTCTTGCGTCTGGTCGAAGACGTGTGCTAAGAGGAATTACACAGATAGTCACTTATCTAATATCTTGGAAAGTCAGATTGCTTTGTGTCTTCCAAATTCTTCTTGTTGTTATTACATACAATGGAACTTTGGCCAAAGCACAGGGTGTCAGGTAAGTCTTGATTAGCCTTGAATCATGTTTTATTTATTATGAATAACTTTAAAAGATGATTTGTCATAACTAGTTTTAACAGGCCTAAAACACAATAGCATGCTGGATTAGTGAAAAGAAGGCAGGGAACAGAACTTTTTTGGATCGGATTATTCAGTTTTCTTCCAAATAAGGACAGTTTTCTAAAAATGGAGACTGTCCACAGTGAAGAACAACTGACTTTCTACCAAGAGCTAAAGATATCCAATTATATAGATTTGGAAGTGGGGACTTTGCAGTGATTCTTCTGTTTTCCTCTGATGTCATTAGGGTGTTCTCGTCATGTTTATTTGCTGTAGCAGTTTTGCTCTTGAACCTCCTGCTGTCTGTCGGCAGCAGCAGCAGCTCTGGAATGGGGGGAGTTCTGTCCTCCTAGCACGTTTTGCTATTCAGTTTCTCAATCCCAAAGGCAACCGAAGGGATTCCCAATTGTATTCCTAATGATTTTATGTGCACTTAAAAATGAATTTGCACAGCTTCAAAGAGACTCTCCTTACTCTGGGCCTGTGGTTTTCTCAGTTTCCTGTGTTCTGCTCTATGAGAGTCTGTATGGGTGCAGTGACTCGTCCCGTATCTCTACTTGAATGTAAGCTTTATGAAAACAGGATCTCTGTCTTGTTCATTATGAGTCTTCACTTCCTTGCTTGGTGTCCAGAAACTAATAGGGGCTCACAAACTCATTGATAAATATATAGTCATCTGGCTAACTTGGGGAAGTTCTCCCTGGGTCCTCCCTCTGACAGCTAAGCCAGCCAGTCCCTGGGTTTAACAGATCATAACAGATGGGAAGACTCTGGAAGGTGGGAAGAAGGCAGAGACTGCCTTGAAGGCTGGCCAGAATAGAGGGTCTCAGGTAACTTTGGTACTTGAATGACTTGACAGTGAAGTACCAGAGAAAACCCCATCCCATAGTCAAGAGGAAAGATTTAGGGGAAAGATTTCCTAACAGAGCAGCCTATCTTTTGGCAAATAACACTTGCCCTTCCCCTAGAAAGACGCTAATGGAAATTTTGCTGCCTTCCTCTACTCCAGAGAAATTTCAGTGGGAATAAAGGCAAGAAGCTTTCATAGTGGCATCCCCTGGGGACAAGAGCAGACTGATCCAGTTTCCTTTGCGAGACTCTTGTGCTGGCTGGACCACACCTGGGAACACATGGGAAGAGCAAGGAGCTGCCATAGTGGAGATTTAATGTCCATATATCTTGGGTGGCAGTAGTGGTAGGAGGTAAAAAATAAGGCGAAATGAAGCAAAGCTTGTTAATATTGCAAGATCAGTGGCTTCTTATTAAAATGAGCCGTCAGGAGACTTTGAGCAGAGAGATGATCAGACACACTAGCTGTTGCATTAAGAACACAGTGTAGAGTGACAAGAGTGGAAGTTTCCCCCACCCATCCCGAGTGAGGGGGACTTCCCTACGTGTTGTCTGCAAGAAATCATGTTGGCTCATCCTAAAGTCATGGCAGGGGAGGGGATAAGAATGGTGGCTGGACTGAGTATGACATGTGGAGATTTCGCTAACTGGAATGCTGGTTGCAGAGTGTGGGAGGTGTGAGAACAAGAGCCAAGATTTTAGGAATTGGCGGGAAGATGATGAAGGTGCCCTATCAGTCAAGAAACATGCGCAGGTAAGATTTAAGGCCTTGAACCTATGTGAGATGAGAGTGAAGAGGTTCAAAGACACTTGAAGGTTAACAATAAGGAGGAGCCAGCAAGGAGGCTGAGAAGGGATATGCAGAAAGAAGGAGGCAAACCTAGTCTGGGCGTTGGCCTGGAAGCAAAATGAAGGGTGTGTATCAAAGGATCCACCAACTCTAGTAAATGTGAAAGTCTTTGAAGCATCTTTGAAAGGTAGCGGGAGGGAAAAATAAAATCACTAGACTGGGCTCAGGAGAGAATAAGGAAATTGGAGCAAAACCACTCTTACAACCAACTTTATATTCAAGAAAAGAAAAAAATCTGGATTATAGCTGGAGGGGTGAGTAGGATCAATAAAGTTGGCTTTGTATTTAAGATGGGTAAGATATGAACGTCCACCTTGTTTATGTGCTAACAGGCAGGTTCTGGGAGGAGCCTGGAAAGATACAGGGCAGAGAATTCTGCAAAGGGTTTCTTTAATGCAGACTGTTGCACTTGTCTATGCTGAGAGGAAACCTCTAGGGCTGCTGTTGTTGGAGCTGGGTTGGGGTGTCAGGCGGAGGTGGAATGGAAGCCCTCAGTACCCACAGTTTCGTCTCTTAAACTGCTGAACTAGGAAGCAAAGTCTTCTTTGTGTGTGGCTAGGATGGTCAGGGAGTTCAGAGGAGAGAGGAGTGTGGAAAATCAGCCAGGAGAGGTTGTGGGTGAGTAGCCTGCTCGGCAGCACCGAGCGCCCCCTACAAACAAATATCAGTAAAGTGTGACCCGTTACTTGGTTTGTGCATTTCTCTGGGCACTTTGGAGCTGCACGGAGGCAGATGAGAGATAGGAAACTCAATGCACTTTTCCACACTTGCTCAGGGTGAGGGACTCTTCCTCGTCCCTGTCTCCTGGTGCCTGTTTATGACAAAATCCCCTTCCTGACCTGGACTGGGTTGGTGCTCACCAGCCATCATGGGAAGGCAAGGAAAAGTGAGGGAAATGTGGCCCAGGGTAGTGCCCAAACACCAGCACAGGAGTGTGGGTCCTGAGCAGCACCTCTACCTGGCCAGCCACCACCAACTCGTGTGAATGCAGGGTTTCAGGGCTCTGGGAAGCGCCTGCAGGCAGAGCCCATTGGGGAGCACTCAGGTTCTCAGCTGCCGCTGGGGCGTCTCTATCACCGGCTCATCCTCTCCCTCTTCTACTTCCAGGCTTGTGGTCAGCCAGCGCTCAGGATGCCGGTGTAAATGAGCAGTGTGGCGACATCCTCACCAACAAACGGTTCATGCTGGACATGCTGTATGCCCATACCCGAAAGCCCGTGGACGAGGATGAGAAAGAGGAGGGTGAGGCCGGCAGGACCGAGCTGGGTGCAGAGGCAGTGGCCAGCTTGGCCAGCAGAATATCCACGCTGCAGGCCAATTCCCTGGCCCAAGACGAGAGTGTGCGGAGGGTGGACGTTGGTTGCCTGGACAACCGGGGCAGCGTGAAGGCCTTCACGGAGAAATTCAACAGTGGGGACCTGGGCAGAGCCACCCTCGCCCCTGAGACAGAGCCAGATGACACGGTCTCAGAGAAAGCCCCGGCCCCGCAGAAGACGGAATCGGACTACATCTGGGACCAGCTCCTGGCCAACCCTAGGGAGCTCAAGATCCAAGACATGGACTTCACCGACCTGGGTGAAGAAGATGACATTGACGTCTTGGACGTGGACCTGGGTCCCAGGGAGGCCTCGGGGCCGCCACCCCCGCCCCCACCCATCTTTCTGGGCCTGCCACCCCCTCCTCCTCCCCCCCTGTTGGATGGTGTGCCCCCCCCTCCAGCCCCGGGTAATTTATTGGCTCCGCCTCCAGTGTTCAGTGCTCCTCAGGGCTCAGGGTGGCTCCAGGCCCCTAGGGGCCAGCCGGCATTCACCAAGAAAAAGAAGACCATCCGTCTGTTCTGGAACGAAGTGCGGCCTTTCGAGTGGCCATGCAAGAACAACCGTCGCTGCCGGGAATTCCTATGGTCGAAACTGGAACCCATTAAGGTGGACACGTCCAGACTGGAGCACCTGTTTGAGTCTAAATCTAAAGAACTGTCCGTCTCCAAGGTACCACTCCCTGCCTCCGTGCAGCTTGAGTTGCAGATTTGCTCCCCACTGATTTGTTGTGTGTGAATTATCCTTTTCTTTGCTTTTGTTATTTGGTAAAATTCCCTTGGTATAAAATAATAGAGTATTCTTTGAACCACAGACTAAAATGAGCAAGGGTTTCTTGACAGCTTGACATGGGCACCAGCTTCCTAAAGGCAAAGGTGCTTTCAGGGAATTTACTGATCCGTAGACAGAGGCAAATGGATGCTGGCTGAGCCCAATAGCAGATATGCATATTGACGAAAGGGAAGTCAACTTTCTGGATTTCCTAACACCTAGACTTTATTCAGAAAATGTGTCTATTTCCTCTTACCCTCACTGATTATAGCTCATAGTAGTAGCTTGAATCTCAGCGATAGCCACACAATGTGTCTGTGGCAAAGACAACTAAAGAGGTGACATTTCTGTGGCTAATCCCCTGCTTAATCAGCACACTGTTACTATCTTGATGCTTCGAAACAACCATATATTTAGCATCGAGTAAGTGCTATACACACATCTCGGTTGCTTATTTTATGAAAATATTTGAGGATCTTGTAGGCATTGCTCTTATATTTGTAACAAAAATATTACATCCACTCTTACAGATAAAATCCATGAAGCTATTGGGTATCTGAGGAAAGATAAAGAAGCTGCACGTGATGAGGTCACAGGTCTTATTCTAATGATTCACCCAGTCTTAGAGTCTCCTTTGCGTATCTTAGAGAATTGATTTGAACAGTGAGTTCTTTGCCTGCCACTGCTTGAGTCGCGGCCAGGCCAGCCCAAGGAGTCTGATCCCTCCATCCTATTCAGGCTCAGGCAGGGGGGAAACCCAGTTGTGTCCGCTCTGGTGTTGATTTCTGCTCAGTCTCACTATGGGAGCTATTCCATCTCTAGTTTCAGACAGAACCCCAAATGAGAACAAAAAGTTTCTCATTTATAAATCCAAACCACTCCAACCCAACAGGGAAAAATAGGCGCAGTCAATGCTCTTCTTTGGCTTAAAGTAGACCTCCCTTGTCCTCTCTCGAAAATGATACCTCGGCACCAGATGTTGGGCCCTTGTCCTGACTTTCCCCACATTTTGTGCTAAACCACTCACGTGGCCCCTTCTGACCTGGTGCTTGAGAGTAGACTGAGCTTTTGACCCAGGTAGGTTAAAATAGCTGTTGATGGTTGCTTGCAGTTCCCCGCATTCTGACTGCACCAGAATCTTCTTCCAAACCAAGTGACAGCAAGCCACTCTCCTCCTCCTTCCTATGTGGTTTTATGTGGCTGGCTGTACCCTCTAGGTTTCTGTGGTTCTTATCTGCTGGGGAAAGGCAGAGCTAGGAAAGAATAAAAGAGAGTAACAGTTGAACGGCCCAGGCATTTCTGACTTCGCTTAACAAAGGAAAGGTATGATTATAAGTTTCCTTTCAGAGACCCAGAGTGAATGGTACCCATTTGACCTTTTTTTGAGTCCAAGTATGGTCAGTGATATATCTGGCCTAGATTCATCAAGTCTGGCCAATAGCTTAGAGCCACTTGTATAGTGTGGCTGGAGACCCCTTGGAGTTATTTACTGCCTAATAAAAGGCCAAAAATGTGACTAGTTGTAACTAGGTGGGAGCATAGAGGTAAGTATATTGAAAAATCTACCAAACAGATCCCAGAATGGTCTACAGTGAGCATGAGTGTGTGACCCCGGGGGAGGGGATGTTACAAAATGTGAACAGGGCTTAATTTATAAATGTTGTAAGAGGTGAGAATGGGAATTAGAATGAAAACACAGAATACATGGGAGAGTTGACTTTGTTCTGTGTCGTCAATACAGATATCATCGATTTTATTTCTGCTTCCAATCCTTGACTGTGATTTTCATAAAAGCCAGCTGTAAACAGCCACTTTGAAACTTTGGCTCATGAGAAGTTTTTCATTAAACACAATAGAGCATAGCAAAAAATAACAAAGACTTCATGAGCCAGTGCAGAGCAAAGGGAATTGGTTTTAGTTTCCATCAGGAAACTTACACTAGACCCCAGTTTCAGGGCATCATTAAGACCATCCACGTCAAACCCCAAGGATTTGTGTGCCAGATCCAGGCTGAAGTCGCCACTTGGTGGGAAGAATAAGACAGAATGTTGGGCTTTTTGTTTCGTTACCAAAGAGTTTCTGGAACTGGATCCAGTTTTCTCTCTCAGCAGGAAATATATATAGCCTTTTAGTAAGATGACTTTTATTATGTTTTGTGGATAAAGATACAAATCCTGTGTCAAGTATCTTCAGATGCTGTTTCTACTGCTGGCCTGAAATGTGGTGAACTGTATAAGAAATCAATAAAAATGTCAGGGCAGAAAGAGTCCCAGGGGCTATAGGAAAGTATCCTCCATGTATGTGGCATCATCCTGAGGGGCCCTGGAAATAGCTTTCAACCCTCTGTACCCAACCCTGGGTAGCCATCCTCCTTCTCTTCCAGAGGAGCTCCTCTATCCCAAGTTACAGTTAGGATAGAACAGCTGTGGGGTGAACGAGAGACCAGCAAGAAGGAGAGAGACTTGGTTTCTCTTTGCTTGATGCTCTTATCCTCCCTGAGGCTCTTCCCCATGGGAGAGGACTCCAGGAAAGAGTTGAAGTAATGTGTCCACCTTGATTTATTCTGACATTTCCAAATATATCAGAAACAATTTACAGTGATTTTTTTAAAAGAAAAATTGAAATATGAAGATGGATGTGATTTGGGGTGAGCCCCATCCTGGGTTATTTTTAAAAGCTTCCCCAGGGACTCAACCCAGGCGGTGAGCCATTGATTCAAAGTGGAAAATGAGGCCCTTTGCTCGCAGCCAGACCTCTCTGCACAGACTCCCTCTCCCCAACTCTCTTTTATTCTCCTGAGCACAGAGTAAAATCTTACTACCACATATTCTAGTTGAAGATTCTGTTATTTTATTAGTCATGGCCTTTTGAAAACCAAAAAGCCTGCATGGAAATTCTAAACCCAACTAATGACATGATTTTATCTCCCGGGGTTCCCAGTGTAATTATTCAGAGGGTCCCTTGCTGGCTTAAAAGTCTCCTGGTTAGAATCATTGATGAACTACAGTTACCATGGAATTGTATTTCTGTGCCTGTTACAGAAAACTGCAAAGATACATAATCAGTATAAAAGTACATCCCCCCCACCCTGCCCCCAAACTCAATAATAAGGCAACCGATTGTAGTCAGTTGCTCAAAATCATTATCCCAACTAAGTGAAGACACCCCACTTTCATTTGAGCTTGTTATTTAGCTGCTGCTGTTTGTGTTGCTGTAACACTTCCCTGTGTAGATCACCATCTCCTCGATCCAGGACTTGGGAAAATTCCACCGCTGTCCCATCGTAAGGACAGCTATATCGTGACATCATTGTCTTTGTCGCTTTCTCGGTCCACAATTTTGAGGTTCTCCCATGGTGTCATTCCTTTGGCAACTAGCAGGGAGCACAGAGAAACAAGTTACCATTTCTAGAACATAGCCAGCCAGGCAGCAGTGGGAGAGGCCTGGGAGAGGCCGCTCGCCTTTCATGGAAGTGCTCAAACCTTGCAATATTCTCCAAGACTTGCTGTGCTCCCTTCATAAATCACATCCTTCATCCAGGTTCCCGTTGCAGTGCCAGCACCCCAGGGGACAACAAGTTCTATGTGCTGAAATCTACTTTTAAAAGGTTACATTCTTTTATTTCAAGCAAAATCCCCCTTGAAATGTTCTCAGGGGTGATCCTCTGTTCAGGGAACATTGGAAAATAAACCCTATTGACCCGTCCAGATGGCAAGTTTCCACAATCTTTCATCAACTCCCCTTCCTCCTCCTTCTTCCCTTGTCCTGTCCTGCTCATGGAAGTTTCTGCCCTCACACATGCCCTTCCCTGACCTCAACCCTCCTTGTGGTGGGGTGTTGCAGGCAGAAGGCATGAGACTGTGGTGGATGGTTTTCTGTTCCAGTTCCTAGAACCACGCCCACCTTTGGTTCTGTGTCATTAGCTGCAACTGAGAGTGTGGCTATGATTTCAGGAATCAGCTGTTCTCAGCGACAGAGTTCCATAATTCCTAAATCTGGAAGTTGCATTCCTTAGTCACTGCTAGTACTGGAATGAGCTTGGTGTGTGGGTTGGGTGTGTGCATTATTTTCACCTTCCTGTGTTGTCTGTAGTCATGGAAACTGTACTCTATCTCATTCATGACAATGACAGGGCTAGTCCTTGTATCTGGAATTGGAAAAGGGAGACTCAGATGCTTCCTATTTTCTTTCCATCTAAGAAACAATCTCTTCATTCTTTGTTTCCGATTTTCAAAGCTGTTTCCTATCCTCTTCCTAAAGAATAACCTTCTCTCTACCCAACACTCCTGTCCAAAAATCTATCGAACTTTTGAAAGTCTAAATCAATGACTGGTTGCCAGAAATATCTTTTTAACCATAGTCTTCTTTGCCAGAGAGAATCTCACCAGAGACTCCTGGGTTTCCCTTCAGAAGAGCTCGGGCTCTCTGTGCATGAAAAGAGCACTTTGTTTTAAAGTAACTTGGGTACTCAAAGTTGTAAAATATTCATTATATAAGATACACTTTCTTGTTTTTGATTGATCAGACATTTTTCTTCTTAGATGTTTAAGGATGTTAAGTACTGTAACACTGACCTCCCGTTCATCGATTTGCTGGAGCGGGCCCAGTAATGTCTTCATTTTGAGACTTGGTGTTACTGTGTTTGGCATTTCGAATATGTCATGGGTAGTTTGCTAGGCTTTGCCGTGCGGGCAAGATACTCTCGGTGGCTTGCCAGGCTCTCCGAGAGGGGTGGAGGAATCGAACCCGGCTCAGCTGGGCTGGCTGCATGTAAAGCAAATACTCTACCACTGCGCGTTTAGTAGTGATGACTTAATTTATGGCCATTCTTGCTTCAATCATGAAGGCATTCTTATTTCCTAGCTAAGAAGAAACTCCTGTTCAATAACAAGAATCCAATC